TTAACAATCCCGTCAGTCCTACTCGCAATTGTCGCTTTTTTTTAGTCATGTACTGCAGCTTTCTTTCTTAGAAAGCCACAACAGGCAATGTGTCGCTCCAATGACATTTTGTTAAATAACAATTACTGTACCGTCGTGCGATTCAATTGTATCATGTTTTCTGCTACGATTATCATTGAGCCTTGCTCAACGACAATGCCTCGCACAACAACATGACATTCAACGTTGTTGCAGCATAATATTGGGTAACCATCTGTTTCTTTCTGCGACGGTATAGACAAGACACTTCCTAGTTGATCGTTAGTGCATATGAGTCATGAGCCCACCACGATAAGAACGCACGTCACAGCTGGAGCTAGCTTGCGACCTGGACCCACCACCTAGACCAGAGCCCGAGCTTTTCGTCAAACAAGGTTACCCCCGGTTCATTGGGTATCCCGTTTCGAAAACCATTTCACTGTATGCAGACAAGCATTGCGAATGTAACCAGGAGTAGTTCTCAAAGCTAGCTGCAGCATTGTGGGAAAACGATTCGAAACTTCCCAGAATCTCTATCCCGGAGGACTGCTGAATCACATTGCGAAGGTAACTCGCAGGTAGAAGACCGCTATGATATATGCATTGAATATAACCACCCCAACAACATCCTTCCCGAGATTTCCATGACGCAGCTGTACTCGTTCTGGGAGGAATACATCCTTTCGTTCCCTAGAAAATTGATGTATATCAGTGATCATGAAGTGGTTAAAGTTTTGATCAATTAGGAATGAAAAAACTTGAGGAAATCAAAGTTTGAGATTCGGCCAGAAATTATGGAACAACCCAATATTATATGCGCTTTTATATTTCCTGGCTAACTCCTGCTTAGAAACATATTTGTATTTAATTCCACTTTATTTTCTTCACACATTAATACTAGACTATGTTTTCACTAATTAAATTTGGTGGGCTAAAATATTGTAAAGCATTCAAGAAGCATCTCGCGCTAGACTGGGTACTGATTGCATCATGGCTTTCTCCTATCAGCTATATTGTCTCTGTTAAGGAATGCTCTCGCCACCACTTGACGGATGGAACTACGTGCTGTATTCTCTGGAGTGTTTCTTGAGCATACTTTACCTGCCAGCTGTGTCACTACTTTTCTACATATGCGTTACTCAGAAGAATCTGCATATCAACTTCAGGTCTCTTGCGTGCACTCATATAGTCATTTAAAATTCTGCAGTTTAGTATTCTTTTCAAGTGAGAGAGCTCTTGCTTGGATGTTCACCTCTAAGCAAGCAAGATAATAATTTGCTCGAAATACACTGCTTATTCGCAGTTCTAAAAAACAGAAATAGCAAGAAATTGATCATACAATTGTTGGGCATGAAAGCGTTCCCCTCGATGTACAGTGCAATCCCCACTCCCAACTTGAATCGTTTCGTCCTCTCTTCCTTACTCTTTCGTCCTCCTGCGTTACAAGCAAGGTCAAGGCAGAAGCCTTTAGCGCGACCGCCCCGTTGCGCCATGTTCAACAACGGCAGTCGTTTTGGGATTTCTGAAAAGGATTGTGATGGTGGAAGAGGCTCATCCACCCTATTCTGCGCTCCTGCTCTCAGAATTTGATCTCCATCCTAACCCTATTGAGGATTCCCATGGCTAATAATGCGAGCAAAAGTAGAGTCTGTCTAGCGAACTGCTTCTAAATCTTCTAATGTTCATCAAGCTGTTATCTTATGGTCAGAAGCGGGTGAACATTAGGAATCCCAAAGTCGTTTAAGGCAACAATTAAAACAATTTCAACAATTTCACATTTGCAATTGGAATAGCGTAATACTTGTTGAATACCGACCATGAGAAGTTCAATACAACAGTTTACATTACAAAGCGTTCTTGTAGTAACCCCCGATATGATGAGTGTTGCACATCTCCGCTCGTGTTGCCCATTTTCACATAAAATTCACTTCGAGGCGGAAGAGGTAACTAGGGTATCCTCGACACCACGTCACTCTCGCTTATGTCGCTATTCAGAATTTGAAGAAAGTTATCGCAGTTGCCTACGCTGTTAGCTGTCTAAACGTTGAACAATCAACAGTCAAAGTATTCCTCTGACTTGACCCTTCACTTCGAATCTCAAAAGCGCTGAAGGTAGTTCTCAGAAAGCTAGAGAGCAGAATATTCATTAACAATGCCAGCGTTAGCAACATACATGCAAGAGTGTCAGTGAGCATCGCTTTTGATATGAAAATTCCAATCTGCAACGGAGCATGGTACTACTTTGATAATGTTTTGTATAGAAGGGAGGTTCGCATAGAGAGGTTAGCGTAGACCATTTTGGAATTATGTTCATATCTTGCCTACGACAAACAGTATGGGCTTCCTGGGGCTGTATGGCTTCAGGCACGTGCTCGCTGTTGGGTGTATCCTCCTGCAGAGCAGTGGAGGGATGGTTCCATAATTCGGTTATCAATGACTGAAATTAGTGGCATTCCTTGTGTAATCAGTGAAATTAACATTAAGAAGAACGCAGTGTTTTCGCTGCAGCCAAAAAAATGACTGCGATGGATGATATACATCAGTGCATCAAGTTTCAGGATTACATGTACTATAAGAATTACTTTTTTTAAGAATCACACTTATACTCATCGGCATCGGTTACCTGGTTACGGACTTTCGCTTACTTTTCCCTTGCGATGGCTCGTATGTGTTGCATCGGTCGGCAAAATACTCCCTTCACGGTAGTTTTAATACAAGGGCCGTTATGATAACATTTTATTGGTAGATGAAAAAATTGCTTCACTCTTCACAATATAGGACCGTGTGTTCTTCTGGAAGTTCAATGGCGCGAACGTTCACACATTTGCTTGGATGATTCTGATTATTGAAAGAGCGACCGCATCATTTTTCACTGTGGCCTATGAAACACGATTCAGTTACAAGTACACACCTACTGCTATATGCGGATCAGTGGTAAGCTATAGCTTTTATGCCTGGACAGTGAACGCAAAAAATTGAAGGTTTGGCTGATTATTGTTTTACAATACGCCGTGCACCCTGCTTGCTATGAGAATCGAAGTTGTGAATGAATACGATTCTCTTAATTTGATTTAGGTCCTTTATAGGTCTGCGCTATCGCAGTTATCCAATGAACTAGTTTACCCTTTTAGGTTTTTCCTGAAGACTTACCATTGGTGCCAATTGAGCTGCTCCAATAGTATCCGGCTGCTTCGCCTAGGTAGATGGATTGAGAACGAATTTTGCGGGATTACGCACAAGATAATTGGGGCAATACACTGTCCAATTTCCTCTGGCTACCCCGATTACAACTATTTGTTCCCAGTTCTTTTTCGTTCATTAGTTTCTTATGCTTGCTCTATTTTTTTCAAAGAATAAAGCTAAAAGAGTTGAAAGTGATTTTTGGATCCCATCTTGCAGTCGATATCGAGTGTTCTCATGTTTCAGTTTTTCTTCACAGCATATGTCGGATATCTGAAAGAAGCCGCGATAAGTAAGTATAAGATAAGCTTGAATTTTTACACTGCTCTAATATATCACATAAGGACTGATGTTTATTTCTGTGTCATTTCTTTACAAATTATGCAGTACTTTCAGTGGGCAGTGTTGATTTTTACATATTCGGATTACAGTTCCTGGTCGCCATTCTCTCTTTAACGGTGAGTAAATGAGTGCCGTGCATCATTTTTACGGGATATACAGGAGACAAAAAAGTCACCCTCCCTCCACATTCACAACTGGATACTTACATTTCTTTATTCAAACCCAATGCGCCCAAAAGCATATTGAAGAGCACATTCTATTCTATCAAAAAATTGCATAGTGGCCTTCTACCCCGGCGACACCAGAGAGATTTTCCCACAAATCATGGTGCACGGTTCGAACTCTAGAAGGTCTCCGTTGAATCGTAGGCCACTGAGACGCTATCTGGAACGCTGATAGAAGTGTTCTTGTTACTGTTGTGCCATACAAAAAACCTGTATGGCACAACAATAACAAGAACACTTATAAAGAATGCCAAGGTTTCAAGAAAGGCGGACATGGGGACTGATAGAAGTTATTCTTGCGTAGTCAGAGCAGGATTCTCTAAGAAGCTATCCGTCGAACCGATTGGAGAAATTATGTAGGAGCTTCAGGCGATACCGGTGAGCCTTTTGGCTCGACTACGGCCTCCTTCTGCAGGTGAGGAAACATTAAAGATTGTGCCTCAAAACTTACATGAACAGCGGCACTCGATACTAAACTTTTGGTAAAGACTCTTCTTGTTTTGGGATTTCGTTGAAGAGTGACTCTTGCTGCTCCTCTCCCCTCTTGTGTATACTGGGTTATTCTTAGAGTTTCGCCAGTTTTATTGACCCACTTCTTGACGGTTCATTGGTATCACTTCATATAACAATTTGCATATCAAAACAAAGCGCGTCTCTCGCTCCGACCGGATATGTTCTTGCTTTATCCCTGAAACACTGAAAATAGCATCCTGCGGTGATACAACCTAACTCTATACATTGAGACATTGAATAAAGTGCGGAAAAACATATATCCCGCGCATTGCAGGCGATGTCGAACATTGCAGGGTATGTGCTTCCCGCCCCAGTGTTCGATTTTTTAGCGCACGACTGATTCATTCACAAGTTTTGTATTTCTCTGTGGAAGTAACTTTAGCACAGCTGCAAAATAGTGGCCCATAGAGTGGTATCGTATGCATAAATTCAAGGGAATTTGAATTTGAAGACCTTACATGATTGATTTGAAGACCTTAAATATTCGGTTCGGTCAATTTCTGCTTTCCTTCCTCCTTTTAAAAGTAGAAGAAGTACATGTGAAACCTCAGGAGTAAAAGATTTTTGTTTTGATTAAAACAATCCAGGAAAAATTGATTGATTTAGGGATTTATTGCGATCTTATTTATCAACACGTCCTCCTATCGTCAGCGGCATAATTCACGATTACATCTGAGTACAATTTACCAAATAGACGAAAATATTCGGGCAGGGAACTATGTGATGCCTGTTGTTCTCAACGAACTACTTGTAAAGGTGAAGATATGAGAAATCTTTGAAACTGCGATATAATTACAATCGGTTTTCTTCACCGGCATCTCTCAATGTGGTCTGAACGCAAGTAGCGTAATGCTGTCTGCTTTTGCGTGACCTACTACTGTATGAATAATTTTGAGTATTGCAATTTGAAAAATTTCCAAGCTTTCGGCAACAACAGCTCCCGAATTTGGCGAAAGGTTACGCGCTTGAGCACTTGTAACCAGGACTATTTAATATTTATTTAATAGTCACATATATCAGGTTGTCATCAGTCTACTACTAACATATTCGATTTTCTTTAGCGGAATTCCTATAGGATACGACACTACGCACTTAAGTCATGTCTATGACCTTGTTGGTTTCCTTTCTCGTTAATTTTGAAATTGCTTTGCATCATTATACATGTTTCCGGGTTTGCTAAGTTGGTGTGTTCAAGATCTTTGCGTATCAGCGGTTGTTCTTCGCAATATCGTTGACCCTTCGCAGTGAGAAATACGGCCTCATCATGAAGCGCAGCAGCAGGATTGGACGGATCGTCGAAAAGCAAACGGAGGCGAACTTAATTTACTTCAGTCGGCTGAGACAGATGTGGTGACAAATTCTAGATTGTTAGTGGAAAGTACATGCAAAAATGTAAGTGAAGTAAATACGAAATAAGTTCACTTCTTCTGTTTCTGCTGCTAGCGTTTTTGAAATTACCAGGGACAATTCTCTGATAGAAAGCTGTCTGCAAAGGAGATGGCAAAATGCAGAGCTTACTACTGCAAGTGAGCATAAATAAAAAGGTCTTCATTCAAAGCAAAAAGATCAGGCGCAACAGTTTTATGTTGGGGTGAGTTAACGAACACCTCTATCGTAGTCATGGAACTGGTTTATAAATAAGCGAGTTTCCGGGTTTCTCTCCTCCTTATGGGGTCGTCCGGCTAAGCCACGCGACTGTTTTCCAAGGATCGGAGATGATTCACTGGAATCCAGAAAGCATTTACTATTATTGCGCTATCAATGACAGTGGTAGTATTGTAACGAAAGCCGTAACAGACTGAGAAGGTTTGGAAGCAGCATAGTACTGCTTGGTGACTGCAAGCGGCTCCCTGAACACTAATGGACTTCTGCGTTCCTTCAAAGAAGAAGAAGTCTAATATATCACGGAAGTGTAGTGCTAACATGGCTTTATTTAGCAGCGTTTTGTATGAGAAGTGCGCGTTATCGGAAGAAGTGCTTAGACGACATGGAATTAATCGCGGTACTAATCGGTAACAGTATGGCTACCAGATAGAAAAGGCAACTCCTACTCAAGGTCCACGGCCTTGTAGGTATTAACAGAATCACGACTTCACCTAAAATGATGCCTCAACACTGATATGGATCTCAGCATTATTAGCGGTCGGTTTCCCTTCCTCTGCACCCTCGTGCCCTCATGCCACTGCAGCAATGTGGAATGACAGAACGTATGCTGTTTACATAGCGTAGTAAGTATTATCAAAATCAGGGCATCAACATCACGATCGTAAAGGCCATCATTTTACGTACGGGCATACAGTAGCGGTCAACAATGTTCGCCGAAACGATTTTCTAGTGCATTATTTTTTTCTCGCTTGAGCAACGCCTCCAAAGATTGATATACTATGTTTTCTAGTGTTTTTATATCCTCAAGCAAAGAATCAGGATATTTAAAGAAAAAATTTTCGAGGCCACCATTGATTTTTTCTGGCAAAAAAAGTGAAGCACGGAAAACCGTTTCGGCGAACACTTTTGACCGGCTATTGTATGTACACACCGACATACACACCGACAAGCTTGCATACCAAAGTTGTTGTTCATATAATATTTACGGGTGACGTGAAACCAGCTGCAGCCAGCAGCATTCGACAACTAGTAACATCAATAAGGATTGAGAAAGACAATTATCAATTACTCTTCGGGATGAGCTTAGTACGAACAGCTTCACCCTAGGAGTATTTATCTGGATTTCAAAAATTTTAAGCTTTTCATATCGGAATATTTATATGTGATAGAACTGCCCTCAGAGTTGCTTGGGGGCTATTGAAGTTTCTACCTTTTGATTTGTTCATTATTTGAAAAAGCAGTTTGTGGCTTGACGATGGCGTATGCAACGGACTTCCGTCAATGAATAGAGGGGCTCTGGTTACATAGGCAGAGGTAATTCGCGGGCCGGGCTTTATTGATTGCTTCAATTGTATTAAAGTTCACTAATTTTGCTCCCGGTGACCATCAGGCCCCCTTACCCTCCGAATGTGTAATGCCTTCTGCTGCGCTCTCTTCATTTGCAAGTCAAGATCTGGAGGATATGGTCATGCATAAAAGGGGTATTGCGTAGTGGAGGGTCCCTACACCATCTCGATTACATCAAAATGATAAGTTTCGTAGTCGTTGCAAGTGCCATCACAGTTATACCATTATTGACAATAGCTAATGCTGAAGTTGCTCTTCAGTATCGTTGGCGACTTGTTCATACCATAAACATTCTTACCAGCTCCATTTTGCGGATGTACAGACAGACAAACCGACATATGTACACACAGTTACGTCCAAACGTTTGAAAACCTTCTTTGCTCGAGCGCGATGGGAACACAGCGCAATGGTCTCAAATTCACATAGCAAATATAGAATTTGAGTAAATACCATGTCCGACATAATTTATTCAAAATCTTAATTGGGAAATACATTCTTTTCCAAGAAATAGCTATCGGAAGTTCGGAAAAATATCACTTCACAAGCACATTCGAAAAATGATCTATTCGTTTTGTTCAGCGACATCCTTAATCAAGAAACGACTTCCTTTGAGTTCTTGTTCCAGTCGAATGAAAGCTCAAGTGCTGCTTGAGATCAACCAAGAAGGGGCATATCTTCGAGTTACAAGAGGGGAAAGCCCGACTGGACTCCGTAAGTTAACGACCACCTAGGCAATTATGCTCGACGACGAGCTTAATTTCTGTCTTCTTGGAAATGAAACAAACTGTGAAACAAACAGGAAACCTACTCACATATGACTTCTACACACAAGCGCCATAATCAAAAGTCAGAAAGGGTAGAATTCCAGTCACAGATAAAGATGTGTCAGACCATTCAGCGGTCTCCTGACTTCTTGATGTTTAGTGGAATGTGGGCTTGTGGGAGGACAAGGATGTTCTGTTGAGAAGAACGTTTCACCTTGCCAAAAAATGGATTTTTGCCACTAGAATTGTCTGATGCAGCCTTCATTCTAATTGCTGCTTCCCTTAACGCAGACAAAAATTACTGTTATGTAAAGAAGAAGACGACTTAAAGTTTGAAGTTGCGCACTTATCGTACAAATTCACCGGGTAATTTGACTTAGTTTACAAGGTGTAGGCATCGCCTAGGAGTGCAGATACGGTGTTCTTATCGATTCAATCAATTAAAAACAATGCCAGCATAGAATTAAACAGCATCTCTACAATTTGCTTTTCCGAATGCATTCAAGGGCATTTGCGCAGAACTCGTTTTGGAAATGTGGAATTCCCGAAACTGCGAGTCGACATTTTTTTCAAATCACGTTCTTCTATTATGGTATTCACCATGGATTACTGACCGCGCTGGATCGAACTCAAGTCTAATTTTTCGACCGCTACATACCATACAATTCGACGCAGCTGTCGAGTTGTGTAATAGAAGGGTTGGTCGCATCAAACAAAATGAACCGAGATCTTTGTTGAATTCTCCCTGATGGACGGCAGCTGCACAGCATTCTCGGAAGGATTGTTCTTGGAAAGTACACTAATAAAGCTCACAGCAAACATGATTAATGTAAGAAAAAAGCAATTTTCGAGGCAGAAAATAAGTGTTCCGGAATCATAGAATAATCCTACGATATAATCCTTGTGTGTTATGCCATGGCTGTGCGTAAATTCATAACTTAGCTTCCACCAGCTGAGAAAGTGTGCTGACCTAAAGCGTACAAAGATGACGGGAAAGGGATAAAGATGGTGGGTGATTAAAAAGGGTAAAGTATGATGCGGGGTAATATCAGGTTTCGGGATGCTGCTGTCCCCCATTTGGTTATGGCGCTCGCACAGACAGTGGAATGCTTGTTTGCGATAGCAACATACAAGTTGTGTGAGAGGGGAAGAAGACGCAGATATAGATATAGATGTGATAGAAAGTGATAAGTGCTGGTAAGAAGCGTCAAAATGTATGGGTGTCAGATTCTCCGCGTTGTTTGCAATCACAGTGGAGCGCTTGGTGCTACGTCAAGTGTATGAGACTGACGAGTAGTAGGTGGCAGAACGTGATAGCAACAGATAAAGGACTGATAAGCCGTACTTGGTTATGGGGCATCAAAAAAATAACTGTCACCTGCGTCACCTGCATCACCTGTCGCCTTGATGCCGTCGTGATCGTCGATTTGCGCGAGCGAGCGCCGTTAACGTCTCCATTCGTCTTTGTCGCTTGCGATGGTTGTCCAGTAGATCCTCCTCGCTCCAGGGACACGAAGTCCTTCCTTCTTTCCTGTTCGGAGCTTTCGTAAAAAAAAGCTATCGAACCATCTATTGTCTTGATGTTCGTTTGACGTCCCGAGGGATCCATTCGGTAACCGCTCTAGTCCAACGGACCACCACAAAATTGCATGACGTGTCCGGCCCACCTTATCTTTCGATTCCTTGGAAAACGGCAGCGTCCCTGATCTTCGATCGTTGGCGTAGTTCGACACTCCGCAGATCCCCTCTGCACTTGCCTGTATAAGGTTACTCCAAGCATCGTCCTCTTGACAGTGTGGCATAGGTCAAGGCACGGGACTGCAGCACCGAAGCAGATGCACAGAGCGCACGTTATCGTCTTCTCACTCTCCCTTCGATGTTTTCAAACTCTACCTCGCGCCGCATCGCTCCTCCTGCTTAATTGGCAGCTAGTTTCATATACTTATTGCCCGACCGAGGCTACTGCAATAGCTACGTGCGTCGGTGATGTTCGTTCCGTTGAGCGTGAATGGGGCATCAGAAACCAATCCGTTTCTCATAAACATCGTCTTCGTTAGGTTCAGCTGCAGACCAACCTTACCACAGGCGCAGTCGAAATCAGCCAGCATTCGCATGTGTAGTTGCTGGCAGTCGACCACTACTCCTTGTCTTCCCATTCCAGTTGACGCATCACGTTCTCGAGTTTGGGCGAGATGGTGTCGCCATTGTGGAACCCCTCTCTTTATGCCATTGATGATTCCCTTGTAGAATGGTGAAATTCATGTCGTAAAGTTGCTGTAGAGCTCACGAAGAATCTTGATGTACTGAGTAGGGACGCCCTGGTTGCCCAAGGCTTCGATGACCGCTTCTGTCTCCACAGAGTCGAAGGCCTTCTTCAAGTCGATGAACGTGAGACAAAGCGGCATCTTGTACTCTCGTGAAACTTCAATGAGTCTTGTAACCGTGTGGATATGGCTCAACTAAGCGAACCATCCCTCGACCACTTCTTCTTCTTCTTCTTCTTCTCCCTAGCGTTAGTCCCGCGCCGTCGCAGGGTCCGCTGTTCTTATCAGTCGTCGCCACTTCGCTCTGTCTAGGGCATCCCCTGCAGTGGCCATGATTTCGCTTAGGTCCTTCTTGACTACGTCCTTCCACCTCT